TGCCTGTGACCTGCTTTTACGAAATTACAAGTGTAGGTATCTGGTGAAGGGAGTGTCGACTCTCCAAAGTTTATACCCTGGAAATCTTTTTGGCCTTTCAGGTGCTACTGGGCTTGTAACTTGATCTCCTACTGCAGACCAACACGGCAATCCACCTGAAAGTGTAGTTTTTAACATGTTCATCTGTAGAAAATTCAGATTAACTTTTCAATCACATATTTTCCCGAAGACCATTATAATTAATTTTTTAAAAATAACATCCAGTTCTAAAAATGCTTTAAAAATTAACCATCTTCAATTATTACCATTTTTGTAGTGTTTGTTGTTACTCGTGTCCACACAAGAGACCTAAGAGCCAGTGAGTGAAGCCCAATAGTGAGTCATTGACTTGGAGAGTAAAGAAAGCAGAAAAAACAGAGACTTTGGTCGTTGTCTACAACACAGGCAGCCAAATTAGTAAACACATACAATATGGGAACTGACTGCCCTGAGATTTCTCCAGCTAGCTGTCTCTCTGTTCAAAAATATCTCGTCTTTTCTAGGGTGACCAGAAACAAGTGAGGGCAGGGCAAAAGATGGTTTTGCAAGGACAGCAGAAATAACAAACACTGCTGGGCTTAAGAAGGAACAATCTGGAAGTTCCGGGACAAATATTAGAGTACATGAAGAGATGATGCAAGTTGCAGGTGGGCACATTTTATCATGCCTGGTGGACTTGCAACGAAGTAAAACATTACTGGAAAGAGGTTCAGCTGATAGTGGCACAAATGACAAATTTGCATATTCCGTTAGATCCAGAGGTATTTTTGATAAATATACTTCCTGAAAACTGGAAAAAGGATGAAAGATATATAGTGTCACACTTACTAACGTCAGCAAGGTTAGTGCTGGCAAAATTCTGGAAGAACGAAAGGGCACCTCAGAAATGGGACTTTATTAATAAAGTAATAGAGGTGGCCGAAATGGACAACTTAACTCAAAAACTTCACGGAAATATGAATTCAGTGTTTCAAAAAGTTAGGTCAAATGTATCCAAGTGGGTGGAAGCAAATGTAAATTTATAAAAATAAATGTAATAAGAAATCATGGAAATATAAGTTTAAAGAAATTAGGTATAGAAAGAGAAGGATCTGTTATTTGTTATTGTAGTGTATGCTGACCTCCACCGGGGGGCCAGCGACAACCAGAGCTTGGCTCTGGAAGAACAATAGAGACTAGGCTCCAATGGGAACCAATGGGAACCGTGGCGGGAGATTCAAACCCACCAATGGTGACCAGGGGTGTGTCCCCAGGTATGTATATAGTTGGCCTGCCGGCCGTTTGTTCCTTGTTCTTGTTGTGTACCAAATAAAGCGTACTATGCACTACGTCGTCGTCAGTCGTTTATCCATGCGGCAACCCACTACATAACAGTTATGTAATATGTTTATGTTTGTTAGGGTTTGTTTTGATGGGTGTTTGTATCTGAAAAATAAAAAATCATTTTTTAAAAAAGAAGAGAGAGAGATGATGCAGTATCGGGTGGAACCCAGCCATCTTTTGTCCACTCAGTCTCACCCAGTTCTCCTTCATATTACAGCCAACAGCTCCCCTGTCTTTTGTCCATTCAGATCCTACAAGGCTCAGCATGGCCATCTTGGGTGGTCAAATGGGACCCTTCCTCCCTTAGGATTCCACCTGTTTTTCTATTATCATGTTTGTCTTTGGAGACAGCTAATACCAGAGTCCCTGAGATAATTGCAGTCTACCCTCTTGGGAGCTCCCAATGTAGGAAAACACAGGGCCAGTTTCCCCTTTGCACAGGGCTGTTTTCCCCACCAGCAAAGGGGATGAAGTCTCCCACTCCCTGCCTCCAGTTCCCTGCTGGTGTGGGGAAAATGGCGGGGACTGATGCTACACTTTGCTGTGATGCTCTGGCAGACTCACAGAATTTGGAACTGATTTTGTGGCATCACTCGGCATCATGCAAAGTCTGGCCCCGGCCCCAAAATTCCTGGGGGGTTGTCAGCCCTTGGCTGTCAGCCTCTTATGTATTGGGTTGTCTGGTTTCTATGTAAAGCATGAGCTTCAGTCACAAGCTCCATAGACTGTCAGCATTCTAATTGAAGCAACCGGATTGGTCACAGTTGCTAACAGACCAATCCGGATAGACTCTGACTTTCAGCGGGAACAATTCCCATTGGACCCAAGGACTCATCTTTGATTGGTTGTTATTGTTCCAGGGGGTGTGGTTTTCCTGGTTCATACTGTATATAGTTGGGTCATTCTGTGTGTTGTTTGTCTGTGTTCTGAGCTAATAAAGAAATCACTTGTTTGAAACGCTGTCTCGATCTCAGTACATAATACAGCCTTACCACCAGCCTATCTGAGTAGCTGCTTGTGGTTGTGTAACCCATGCTTTCATTGCAGTTTTATAAGCAGCACAAAGAGTCCAGGTATGTCTACATTCACCAATATAAGCTGAGTCAACCACCCTATAGCCAACAAACCATAGGGTTGCCAAGTCTGGCAAACTTACCGGCGGGGGAGGCTCCGACGAGTCCGGGAGCAGGCTCTGCGCGCACGCACCACCGCCACATCACCGGAAGTGACGTGTGACGTTGCTGACGTTGGGGGCATGGCCGACCTCGTTGGGGGGAAAACCATATGGTTTTCCCCCCGACGAGCTCAGCCACACCCCCAACGTCAGCAACGTGGCCACGTCACCTCTGGTGACGCAGCTTTGGGGGGCGGAGATCCCCACGGGGCCCAATTCCGCCGTGGTGGAAATTGGGCCGCCAAAGCGATAGAAATCGGCCCGCCCCCATTTGGCAACCCTAACAAACCAAAACATCATTAAGGGTTGGATCCAACCAGCTTGTTTATTCATTCTTGCCTGGTCCTCCTCTTCTCCACATCCCCTATTCCATACACCTTTTGAACATACTGGTATGTACATACTGGTACCAGTACATACTGGTACCATGATTTCCACAGGTCATCATAGGAGACCACCCCCTTCTTTTTTTCAACAGCAGACAAAGTGGTTAGATCCAACCCTATTTGTAGCATTCCCAAGTGGGCTGGCTATACCTAAGATTCAAGCAATTCAGCCTGGCCCAAGAAGGGAGCAACAGCACCAGCAGGGTGGGAAAGGCCTGCTTTGAATAACTGTACGGTTCAAGAGAGAAGAGTTTGTAGTCTCTCGAGAATACCCTGGTCATCTCACCTGCAGTTTGAGTGTCTATGAGCCCTTTCATGTGCCAGCCTGGACTAGGATTGGAAGACTGAGACTCACCACCCATAGGGGAACCTTGCCAGTGACATCACAATGTCATTCCGAAAGCACTGATGTCACTTCTAGATGTGATCATCACATTGCCAGGGTCACTCCAGCATTCAGCCCAACCTTTGAGGCTCAACCATAGAGTTTTAGGCAAATGCTAGGGCATCACCCAATGTGATGATATCACTTCTAGGTACACCAGAAGCGACATAATGGCACCAGGATGACACTGATCATTTCCCCCCTCCTTTCTTCCCACTGTCACCCAGCTGAGCAGTGGCAAGAAGGACTGGTGGCAGGGTGGGGTGGGCTGGGCTGGGGCTGAAGCAGAAGACCTTACAAGCCTGGCTTGGACATACAGCACTAGATATTAGTGGCTTACGTGCAGTATATATAACCAGGCCGGTAGCCATGGGGGCATTTGGGGGCAATGCCCCCCAACAGATAAGTGCCGCCCCCAAGGACAAAACATCATAAAAATATTTTTTTAAAAACATTGAAATATATTTTTTTAAAGTAAGATGTGCTTGGGGTTTCCAAAATGACCCCAGGCACAGTCAGGGAGGCTTCAGTCTCATTTTCTTTTTTCCGAGCCAAAAAACAAATAAAATAAAATTGCAAAAAAATAAAATAAAATTGCAAAGTGCAAAAGAGAGAGGGTCGAAGATTCCCCCTCCCTGGCCTACACAGAAAAGCCACCTGGAATCAAGTGTCTCCAATCGAAAGGATTAGAGGAGGACTAGAGGTCACAATGGAGCCAGAGCGGCTGCTTCTGCTGCTGCAAGAGGAGCAGGAGGCGCGACCCTGGCACCCCCCTGGATTTTCCCACACCCCACCAACCAAAGTTGGCGCCCCTGTATATAACCTGATATTTTATGCATCCTTGTGGGCGCTGAAGAGATTTGTAATTTTCTTTGTTATATCCTTTGGAACTGTAGTACACAGGCTGAAGCTTCCACCAATCTACAACTAAAACAAACAAGGCAGGGGATCTGAGAGAAGGATCAGAGTTCCCTGTGTGAGAGGATCTTATCTAAAAGCATGATCGACACATTCTAATGGAAAGCAAGGCTTGGGGAAGGGTTGGAGGGTGTTTTTTGGTGGATTTTTAAAAAAAACAAAAATGGAACGTGCAGATATAAGGAAGTAAAAGTCACCCTCTGCTAGGCCTTCTTTAACTGTTTGAAGCAATTTTCTCTTAAGCAAATCCCATTTCCTCTATGTCTAATGGTGAGTTAGGCATAAAATAGAAGAAATATGTAGGAAGGAATGAACCTCGTGCAGGGCACCTACGTGCATACAGAGTTTGTACAAAACACCCTTTGCCTTTCCTGTTTAAAGAGACATTCCCAACACCCAACCACGTCAGGATCCCAATGGTGGGAAAGGACAAATAGACAATTAAGTACCTAAGGCCTACCAATGAAATGCTGAAGGTTTATGCCCAACTCCATTTTGAATTTTGCACCGACACCAACTCTCACATTTCCCCAAAATTCTGGAAGAGTTTCCCAGCTAGCTTGACACGTCAGTAAGGCTTATTCCTCCTTATCTTAGTTACTGTTGTTGTCCCACCCTCTGAATATTGATCTTCCTAGGTGCGGTTGGGGGCTCAGTTCCTGCAACCTCAGACATAGCTGAGATCAGATTGGTGAACGGTTCGAGTCGCTGCAGTGGGCGAGTGGAAGTGCTCCATAATGGCCAGTGGGGCACCGTTTGTGACGATAGCTGGGGCATGGAAGAAGCCAGAGTCGTGTGCCGGCAGCTGGGATGTTCGACAGCAATATCAGCCCCACGAGGATCACACTTTGGAAGAGGAAATGGCAGCATCTGGATCGATGACACCGAATGCAAAGGCACGGAATCGGCTCTCAGTCAGTGCCCAGCAAGGTCTTGGGGAGACAATGACTGCCATCATGGAGAAGATGCTGGGGCTGTGTGCTCAGGTATGTTCAGGAACCAGTGGGCCGAGTCCATTTTTGACCTATAGGGTGGCCAACTGTCCTGTATGGCTTCGGTCCCGTTACCCATCGCTCAGTATGCCGCAATCAGCATGCAGATTTGTGGGATGGGGAAGAAGCATTGTACTTGGTAAAATCAGGCTGCTGTTAAAAAAGGTAAAGGTTCCCTTGCTTGAAAGCCAGCCGAATCCGACTCTAGGGTTGCGGTGCTCATCTCCATTTCAAAGCCAAAGAGCCAGCGCTGTCCGAAGACGTTTCTGTGGTCATGTGGCCGGCATGACTAAGCACCAAGGTGCACGGAACGCTGTTACCTTCCCACCGAAGTGGTACCTATTTATCTACTTGCAATTTCTTGCTTTCGAACTGCTAGTTTGGCAGGAGCTGGAACTAGAGACAGGAGCTCACTCTGTCATGCGGCACACTCGGGTCTCGAACTGCTGAACTACTGACCTTCCACAGCCTGTAGTTCAGCATCTTAAGGCCAAAAGCTACTAGCATTGTAAGCATGGTGGGAAATTATCACAAGATTAATTCACTCGTCTTCTTTTGCCATCGAGTTGCAGCTGACCTATGGTGAACCATTGGGGTTTTCAAAGCAAGAGACATTCAGAGGTGGTTTGTCACTGCTTGCCGCTGTGTAGTCTTCCTCGGTGGTCTCCCATCAAGGTACTAACCAGGGCCGTCCCTGCTTAGCTTCTGAGATCTGATGAGATCAAGCTAGCCTGGGCTATCCAGGTCAGGGCTTAATGTACTAGGTAACATTGAACAAGTGCCCAGTGGTACCTTACAGACTAACAACATTTTATTCCTGTTCTTTGTGGACTGGAGCTGATCTCTTCATATGCAACCCCCCAGAGAAGGGATGGGGGTGTAAGGGTTTTTTTTTTTTGTCCTTGTTGGGGTTGCTTCCGAGTG